AAGCTCTTGACTCCTCAGATTTAATGTTGTGCTTTAAAATAAAGGAACATGTAGAAATTTTAATCACTTCATTGGAACTAAAATAATGTAACCACATCCATTCATGATAGATTTTACAGGAATTAGATTAGAGTCAGCGTCTGGATTTAATGAATTGGCAGGTTCCCTTGAAAAGGATCCCATCGTTTTGACTTTGAAGCTAGTGGGGCGCAGGATTGCTATGCCGAGTTCAGTATTGTGAGATACACTTCATTTCCTCAGAATATTTTAATCCAAGTTACTCAATTTATTGGAAGCCTCACCATATAGAATTCTGCATAATAAGCAGTTTTAAAAATAGTTTTTTTGTTGGTAGTAGCGTGGGTTATGTTTTTATTTCCTGTTTTGTTTGTTTTTTTTAAAAAAAAAATAATTCCATTTTAAGGAACTACTTTGTAACCAGAGGGTTTTTGGCATCCATGTATTATTTCTGGCAGCAGTTTGCCTGCTTCTCTGTTGATGTGGCCTCCAAGGTGAATGGTGAAGGGTAGCAGAAATTAGACGGTTTTGCCCGGGTAGTGGGCAGGGAGAAGCCCTTCTTTCCCTGAAAGCCCCTTCTTTCTCTGTTTACTGCAGAGCTCTTGTTTTAGGAGGGGAATGACTTCAGCAACCAAAGGACAGGACAGTGGTGTCACCCCATGATCAAATGGTGCTTTGTGGTAAGACTGTGCAATGGGTCAAGAGTCAGCATGAATACTGAGCATCCACCCAGTGCTTTGTGGTCTCACTTTCAGCTGCAAAATCCTTTCTGCAAATTGTATTTCTACAGACTGTGGACCTGAACACTGAGGCCCCACATATTTGCAACTAAAACATATAGCTCTCTAAACAAAGCTATTAATCCAAAGGTAGCTAAATGGAGATTAGAAAAGAGACTTAAGTGACCCGTCAAGCTACAGTGCTCTTTTGGAGCTTAATCAAATTCCACCGAAGTTAGCAAAATATTTGAGCTAATAGGCTGAGTTCACTTCTCTCATTTCAGTGGTAAAAGCATGAAGAGTCCAGTATCACCTTTTATTTCTAGACCTCTGATGTATAAATATTAAGAATACTTTCCACACAAACAAGTACAAGCCAATGTCAAATTAAGATCTTCAAAAAGCTTTAGGAGAATGTTTCATGGAATTGCCTCAAAATACTTCAATGTTCTTGTTCATCCAGCTATAAAAGTGCTGGTCATATGAATCAGTTTTAAGCTTCAAGAATCCACAGAAAGCTCAAAACAATTCTGATCTGGGATTTTAGATAAGCTTATCTTTACAGAGAAGGTACTAAACAATATGAGTCCTGAATTCATGCGCATCTTTTGTGCATTTTTCCTATTTATTTAGTCAGTTAGATTAGACAGTCAGTTAAATGTTAATCTTCTTATATATGATTAAAAACAAACAAACAACAACAAAAGACACTAGGTGCTTTCTGCTCTACTATTTGACCCTTTAAGCATTTATTGTTTTTGATTCGGGATATACTTTTACCCCCCTTTGAAGATGGGATAGAAAATGCAGAAAAGTCATTACAGCATAGATCTATAGGGCAGAATTTCACTCTACTAGTGCACATTATGAAATATTGACCTTTCTAAATCACTGTGGGCTGTAGTCGTCATTTTTTGTGTCTCCCTGAAAAAAGCAGTTTCGTTGTAAAAATAACTAGCATTAAGAAAGATGCAAGAAAAATTAGTTTGAACTTTGTAATTTTACATTGCAATATTTTAGAAGCCTAAAATCTGGGCTACAGATAGAGAAGGTAAGTAACAGAGAAATGAAGTATGGGAATAGTGAAACCTCTTCCACTCCTGGTTACTGACTAACCCTGTAGAAATCCAGTCTGAAACATTATATAAATAATAACGTTGTCCTCTCTTGAGAGGCTCAACATAGAGGATTGTCATTAGCAATTAAATTCAGCACTATGTGGGAAGATGCCAACACCCTCAGGGTAAGCAGAGTTATCTAATTATCCTACTGTAAATAAAACCCAAGCACTGATTACTGGTATTTACATACAAATAATCAGCATTTCTGGTTGGAAGAAATGTGTTTTTCCATGGATGATTTTACTAGTCATGCATATAGTTTTCAAATGATAATCTTTGGGCTGTAAATATAAATACAAACTTGTTAAATCCAGTGATAATATTTTTAGAATCACAGTGCCAGTTCTTCCTTCTGGGCATATTCCTGTAACCATGCTGGTTCCAGCAGGATAACATGGTTGCAGAGAGAGGCAGAATCTGGCTATCAAAAATCTCTTTTCCCTTTGTTAGTGTACAGACAAAGCAGCACAATGTTACAAGTCTAGTTTGATCTGTTGGAATCTTCTTGGAAATCGCATGGGTTAGTGTTTGTGCAAGGCCTCCCTCCTCTCAGCCTCGTGAATTTGTAGGCCCCGGGTATGTGAAAGCAGAAATGGTGCCCGGGTCTTGCCCGAGCAGCAGCAGCGCTGCTGGCTGCCCCCAGCAGTGCCGTGCCCAGGCCCTGGACGTTCCAGCCCCAGGGAGGTGCCTGCAGGGACCACCACCTCTTCCTGGCGGACAAAAGGCCCCCAGGACACCGGCTCCGGCTCCGGCTCCGGCGGGCCAGAGTGTTTTAGTTCCCCACCTGGCGTCGGGGAGGGATCTCTGTGCACGGCTGGGATTGCTGAAGGCCTCTTGCTTTGGGGAAGAAAAGAAAGAGGCATTTCAGTCTTGCCTGGATTCTTGTGAAAACCATGGGCTGAAAAGGTGCATCTCATGAAAGCAGAATCCTTTGCTTCTGGGTTACAGGCAGAGAATATCCTTTCACTCATGATTTGATCCAGATCAGTTTGAAATTCTAAGGGCCACCTGCCTGATTTTAGGCAAATACCTGCATGATGGAGGACAAAACCAAGCTTTGTCCACATATGTCTTGCACAGATTATTCTCTAGCCCAACCAGCTTTTGCTTTTGTTCCAGTTACTCTAGATTGGAAGTAATTACATAAATTCAATACCTCTGTGTGTGAGTGGATACATGTAAGATGTGTGTAGTTGGGAAGTTGAGCCTGCCTGTCACAGAGCAAGACAAGTTTCCGTTTCTAGCACTGTAATTTTCAGCATCACATTAGAAAAGAATCATAGTCTGTTTGAAAGTGCAGAATTTGAAAATATGACAAGAAATTTGCATGTTATCTGCCACAAGAAATGGCATACTTTCTGCAAGGTCATTTAAAAATCAGTATAAAGAAAAATAAGCTGATGCTGTGGAAGCTGTGTGGGCCAAAACAATGTAGGGTTTCAGATACAAATTAAGAGGAATTCGGCAAGAGCCAGAGCTGTTAGATGCTGCCTTCAGCTCAGAACGTCTCTACGTGGTTTATCTCCAGGAGCTGGGAGGAGATTTCCCTGCACATGCTCTGGGCCACTTTCTGCCCTTTGCTATTGATCATTTTTGAAGATGAAGTACTGGCCTGGATGGGCTGGACTGTAAATGTGACTCATGGCTAGTCTTGATTCTAAATCATCAGTAATGATTGTTTTGGGAAATAGTAACAGGACAAACAGACTTGCTTTAATGTGCTCTACTTCTCACACCAACCTGATGTTCCTACTGTGACAGCAAGAACACGACTTCCCTAGATGCAGTATTGGGACTGGTTCCACTATACCTGCCTTGGGCTGTGTCTACGTTCCGTGTGTGTTTATATGCCAGTGATTCCGTTCTGGCCTAATAGGCTGCAAGACCTTCCTCAATAAAAGAGGACTGGAATTGTACGTGGACTCTGTCCAAGTTGTCCTAAGGGCGAAGAGGGCAGCACCAGCTACTGTTACTGGTGGGGCTCTCATGGGCTCAGACTAGTGAGGACAACTGCAAATGCAGTAAATATTCACATAGAATTTCCTCCATTATCTATTGTTTCTATGTAAAGTCTCTGTGTTCAAATTTCATAGTTCAGAAAAAGATTTTGTCCTATGCTTTAATTCATATCACAATAATTTTGAAGGGAGAATTATGGTATTGTCTCCAAAGTTGCCTTAAAATGAAAGTGGTTAAGATGGAAATAAACAATCACTTTTCCATAGGACATAAAGTGACATTCATGGCACTAAGATGAATAGCTAGATGCTGGTGTTTTAGAGCTATTAAAATGAATAAACAAATCTGAAAAAAAAAGAGTGTTTTAATTTTCTGATTTGTAGAATGCAAAATTTTGGAAGATGTAGCCATGAGAGTTTTCTCGTTTCTTTCAATTGCTTTGTTTATCAGTTTCTAGAGGGAAGTATGGCTTTTTATTTATAAAGTCGTAATAGTATTGGTAAATAGACTAAGGCAAAACTTAAGCTTAGGAAACTGTGAAACATCAAAGGCAAATAAAATCCTAAAAAGTACTTTTAAGAATGTCCTTAGATTTGGAAGATGACCCAAGCATTCGAAGCAGCACTTTGTCTTTAGCTTTCTACCTCTTTCTTGAAGGGATGATGTTAATTGTTAAAACAATGACTATACGAGTTGTCCCTTTAGGTAGTAAACTTGTATCAAAATTTTCTAGGTTGATAATAACCACTTTCTGTGCTCTTTGGCCATATGAAGTATCCTGCTTGTTTAGTGCTGTTCCAAAATGCACATCGGATATAAAGTAGAAAACTAGAACTATTCCTTATGCACTTCTTCAGTAATCAGTTTAGGCATTCCTTGTATATTAACAAAATTTTTCCTTAGATTACAATGTCTTTGTTAAAAGAACAACTCTTCTATGATACATTTTTCTGATATATTAAACTCAGTTTTTCTCCCTAGTTACTTTTTTTTTTCCCAGGATATCCTTTTCCTTGAAATGTATTTTTTTTCCTTTTCCTAAATTGCTAGTATGAAATTATTTTGGGAGTTGCTTACGCATGGTCAGCCTTTCACTTTTTTTGCTGTATTATGAACAAATTGCCAGTTGCAACGTTCTTCACTGAGTCTATGTCAGTGAATTAATGTAATAATGTATTTGCAGGGTCAAGCTGTTGCTCAGCTGTGTTCAACTATTCCCAGCGTTACAGTTTTTGGAACAGCTTCGTCTTTCAAACATGAAGCTATCAAAGATTCAGTAACTCATCTCTTTGACAGAAATGCAGACTATGTTCAGGAAGTAAAAAGGTAATCTTTTGTTTTCCTGAGTGAGAGTTACATCCTACCTAGCAAAAGACTAAGAAAAACCCTTTGGAGATCTCCTATGGGAAGATATTAAATATGTGACTTTGGGAACTGTAATTTATTCTAGATATAATTCCGAGCACTAAAGAGAAACTGAGTGTCTGGATTGCCTTTTGAAAGAGGTGGAGAGACGGATGGCACAGCTGTCTGCCCCAGTTCTGCTTTACTGGACATTAGCAGTCTATTCTATTGCTTAGGGGACTTGGGTGCCGCCAGGGAGGGCTGCCCCTTTGCCTGCCCACGGCGCACAGGTTTAGGCAGCCCCATTTCGAGGGGAAGCCCTTCCTCTGCGGAGAGGCGCTGGGCGAGCACAGTGGGTTGAGAGAAGGTGGTGGTGGGAACTGCCTTTGGTGCTGGGGCACTGCAGGCAAGAGCTTCCCACAGGGAGCAAGGTCAAAAGCCAAACACCAGAGCCATAGAAATGGGAACGCTGGGAGAGAGGGAGGGAGGGATCTCGTCAATGAGGAAGCCACTGAAGGCTGCTGAGCTGCAAGTGGTGCATTTGTCAGAGGCCTGAGTACAAATAAGTGAATAAACTCTACGCAAGGCAACAGTGCTCAAGAGTCGACATGCTCAGTTTTGATGCCTTCTCTTTGTGCTTAAATTAACTCTTTGCTGGGGCATAGTTGATGTGAAGCTTGAAGCAAAATGATATGCTTGGTAAAGTTATCTCGAAAGGTCTTCTGTCATAGACGAGCTGGACTAAGAAGAGGTATTTCCTTATGAATTCAGTAAAAGAACAGCAAGAGATACTTTGTCGTAACGTATATATATATATATATGTAACTTTACTGCATATATATATATATATAAATTTACTGCAAGTCCTCACAAAGGGCGAAAAGGTGTTTTCCCCTTCTTTTTGGTCTGAAAGGTTTGTGTTGCTGAAATATAACCATCAGCTTGTATCATGCTGTTTTAGTGATACCTCAGAACCTACTGAAAAGTGATTTTTTTTGCTTACATTTTAGAATCTCACCAGATGGGGTAGATATTGTTTTGGATTGTTTGTGCGGAGAAAATACTGGGAAAGGCCTCAGTCTCCTCAAACCACTTGGGACTTACATTTTATATGGTAAGTGGAAAAAATGCAGGTATATATTTCAAAGCTACAGCTTTGCTAAGCACAAAGTACAGCTTTGCTAAGCACCTTTGCTAAGGTCTATTAAATTCATCAATGCTTCCCACTCCAGAACTTGAGGCTTACCTGTGTGGCTGGTTTTCTCAGTTTGGCCATTTCCAGTCGAGAAGTTTAGTAAGGCTGAGCATAGAGTGAATTACTGAGATAGTTAAAAAAAAATCCCCAAAGTGAAAGTGCCTGTATCAAATTGTTAGCATCATTTGCTAAAATGATGCACGCACACACACACACATAGATATATATATGTGTATGCTTGGTTCTCTAATTTACAGACCACAGGTATCAAAATAGTATGGTCTCGGAGACTGCAATAAAACAGAACTCTGTTCTTGTGGGAAGGGAACTTGGAGGCTGCTCTGCATAAGTCTCTGGTCTTCATTTGAGCAGACTGCATATAGTGACTGCTGTGCACACAGAGCAGGCGCCTCTGCTGCCGCTCTGCCCGCCGCGCTGTTTGCGGGCGCTGAGGCCCCAGTTGGCCGAGTTCTGTAGAGAGCCGCTACAGGGACTGCTGAGCTTTGAATGAAGACTGTGTCCTTGCAGTGCAAGGTGGAATCTCTTCACGGATAAACATTCCCACTTCCCTGCACTTTTACCTAGCTATGCAAGGGGCAGTAACGGTGCATAAGTTGTCTCACATACCTGCTTGGACTGTAGAAGCCAAGTGGCTGCCCGTAAGGAAGTCCAAGCCAAGCGAATGGTTACTGCTGCTGGCGGCAGGTTGCAGTGTGTGTGTGTGTATGGTCACCCAGGCAGGATCAGAGCTCTGCTGAGATACAGCTGTGGGCTGATGAGAGGGGAAGGACATCAGTGTAGCGACAGCTCCTCAGTGACGGTACATCAGAGGCGGATGGCATTTTACGGCAGAGAAGCAGACAGCTATAGAAGAGACTTAGTGTCAAAATGCCATATGACACTTGAACTGTTCTTGTTTTTTGAGAAGATTTAAGAAATTATGTTTTTGTGATCTCAGAACATCTATTAACTTCTAGGGCTCTGTCACCTTGGACTCTTTGTGGTTTATTTCCACAGTAAAAGGACATTTACTGATCTATTTTAAACTTGTGGAGAAAAAAAATTCTGAAGTATGAATTACAGAAACCATTTTACATATAGTAAATGGTCTGCTTGTCAGCACATAATAAGTTGTCTGTAAATGAACTCATTTTTTACAGGTTCATCTAACATGGTTACTGGGGAAACAAAAAGCTTCTTCAGTTTTGCGAAATCAGTAAGTGTCACACTGCTGTTATTCTGCTCCACACTCCTCTAACCTCAGGCTTTTTAAAAACATTTTCATCTTTATCATTCTCTTCATCTCCATTAAGTTGTTACCTTTCATGTTGCTAAAATGAAGAATGGTATGAATGCAATGTGATCTGACATGTTTTCTTTTGATATAACAGCTAGACAGGATCTGGATCTGTGCACAGTGCGTATTTAATTTGTTAGCTAGCAGACATAGATCACCTGTTTAGCTATGTTAAAAATCAGAGTGCATTGTTTATTCATGGATGGTGGAATGACGTATCCACAGATGAGGAGAACTATGCCCTCTATGTTTCTTATTTCTGAAAAAAACTGTCAGTACAGTGCACTGAATTAAGAGATCTCTATCTGTTACGACTGGGCTTGTGTCCAGTCATCTCCTTCTTTTCAGAGATTAGTTCCACGCAGAAAAGTATTCTTCATTTCTCCTTCACCTCCCTTTCAAGTGGCATCAAAGAGATTGTGCTGTGACATTTCTTTTCTCACTGATGTTGTCAACAAAATCAGAACTCAAATGTTAAACTGTTCCTCACTACAGTTCTTTACTACAGCTACAAAATCTCCTCAGAAAACTTAGGAGACAAAAAGGACAAACAGATCAAATAAACTGCTAGTGAGCAAGAACCAGGTGTGAGAGTGACTCCTTCAGATAAGACAAAAGGGAGAAACCCTGACTAAAGACATATCATAAAATCTTCCTGCCAAGAGCTCGTTAACAGCTTCCAGCAACAGCCACTTCCCAGGAGAAATTAACTTCAAAAGCCTCTGTGGAAGGCAAATCAAGATAAAACAAGGACTCTAACAAGAAGCATGGATATACGTTGCTTTCAACTTTACTCAACAGTTGCAGTGACACAATCTTTATGCTGTTGTCAAGCCTTTTTGAAATAAAACAAGATAATACTCATTGCGCCTTTTATTATCGATGCTGTGTCCAGCATGTGATTGCCACCCACTGTAGAATCTGTAAGGTAGATTGATCCACTGACAGCAGATTAAATGGAAATAATTTTCAGGTAGTACTGGTATTTTGTTTTCTTTTGTGGGTGTTTTTTTTTGATCAAAATAGAAGGATTTCTTTGATTTCCAGCCCTCACCTGCCAAACTTGTTTTTTGAATGACAGTTTCCCTTTCCAGTATCTGCACCATTGGCATAGTCGAGATAATTTTCCCTGAAACTTTGTATTTGTCTCTACTGAAGTTGCAATACTACCTACCTTGCTGCCCCCTCACTCAGGCTTGTGGGGGCTTTCTTGCTACCAGCAAGGTGTTTGACTACACTAATACAGAAATTAAAACTGTTGATTTCAAGCTCAGAACTATTAAAAAAAAACTTTAAACAATACAGTATTTTTTTTTAACTGTAGAATGATTCTTCTCTCCAAATGCTCTTTTCAGTGCTAATACCAAATATTGTTAAGGAAGGCAAGGCTTTATAATAAAGTAGTGCATCAAACTGTTCATAAAAATGTAACTATTTTGTATACTAATATAATAATTGTACAGTTTTTTTTCAGTATTAAACTTATCAAAATTGTGTTCCAATGAAACTCGCTGTGATGAGGAGTCTCAGTCTTCAGGATGTTCTTGGAGTTAGATATGCAATTATTTTATGAAGCCTGCTCACCAGCCATGAGTGTGAAAGGCAGCTAGCTGAGCAGTATATGGCTTCCTTGCTCTTTTGAGAGCCAAGAGCTGCTCACAAAGGTTAGGTGCTTATCTGGCAGAAAAGGATAGCAGCAGAACTAAGAAGGGACGTCCATATCCCTTATTTCTAATTCCATGTCCTAAAAGCAGAGCTGGTCATTGTTTTCTTAATAGGCTGAGGTCATGCAACAAAAGCTGTAGTTTGTTTACACAGCATTCAGCAACTGCATGCTTTTTTTTTTCTTAAAAAAACACCTTTTCTCAAATAAAATGCTTGTAAACAGGAGAGCCAGCTCTACAAATTTAATGTGGAGATCAAGCCTTCCTTCCCGCTTCCCTGTGTCAGGGAGCCAGAGGAGTCCTGGAAATGGCATCTCTCGCTTTGACTAGTGTATCGTGTCAGCACAGGCACTTTTCTGGTGCTCTTTGCTGTGTGTGTCCCCAGGAGTGTTGTTCTAACGCTGCTCTTGTTTCTTGCTTTTCAGTGGTGGCAGGTTGAGAAGGTAAATCCTATCAAGCTGTATGAGGAGAACAAGGTCATTGCTGGATTTTCTCTGTTGAATCTACTCTTCAAACAGAATCGAGGTGGCTTGATCAGGAGTGTATTGGACAAACTCATAAATCTATACAATGATAAGAAGATCAAGCCTGTGGTTGATTCTCTATGGGCCTTGGAAGAGGTAGGAAGAAAATTTCTTTCCATGTTTCAAAATTTATAAAAATGCACACATTTCTAGATGTAAAAACATATTTAATGTATTAAATTTATTAATGTGTTTGTTTTTCAATTTATATAAAAACTCTCTCTGAAACGCTTGCCATTCAGGAAGTGCATGATTCAGGACTATTCACAGTTCTTTTAGTAGCTGTATCTGCGGCTTCAAATACTCTGTCCTACTTTGTTGAGAACGCTAATTAGTGTAGTTTTTGACTCTCTAAACCGTGTCAGTGCGTGGTGTGGGCTGGGGTCCCCGGCATGGTTCTCGGAGCAGGCTGCGTCACGGTGTTCGCTGGGTTGTACCACACAGGGTGTGCACTGGCTGCGTGGCCCCGGGAGCACCACTCAGCTCTATCACTAATTTTGACCAAATGAACTGAAATATCAAGCTGCTTAAGGGAAGCAGATGTTGGATAAAGAGCTGCTGGCTCAGGCTGAGGTCAGGCATGACCAAATTGTTCTGTCCTTGTCTGAAAGGGGAAGTGCTTCAAAGAGCAGTGTAAAATGGAAGCAAGATCAGAGTTAGATTTTTGACCTATTTTGTTTTATTTATTAAAATACATCCCAAAGTATTAAAAGAAGACTGACATAATGCTTCAGATAGGCATTTTGCAATTTGCTTGTGCATGTACACATGTGCTTTTCCTGTACTGGTAAGCAAGAAAAGTGTAAGTTAAAGCAGTAAAAGAAGCCTAACTTGTCTTGACTAAGAAGAAGAAAAGAAAGAGAGAGAAAAAAATGCACATTACAGGCTATTTTAATAGCCAGCATGATAGGAATTCGTTGGGAGATTTTTGTTTGGTAACATTTAGTACAACATTTGGCAGTAGCATGCAGGATTTCTACTGTTACATTATGAAATGTGTAAATACATCTGTTAGACCACAGTCTAGAAAACTGCAGCTCATTTGTCAAGCCTGCTCACTTTTTGTGATTTATCTGGCAAATTACAAAGGAAATTACTAGCTAGTATCTTCAGGACTATAGCAGTGCTAGAGGTGTTTGTAATCAATGATGAAGTATTACTGTTCATTCTGGGCATTATCTTTTATTTGTGGGGTATATTTTGTAAGTTTATAAATACCTTCAGATTCTCAGAATGAAGTTAATATGATGCACAGAGAGATGTGTTCTGGTTGAGGACTAAATGCAAACACATTAGGAAATGTTTGTGTATATTTTTTATTCTATTTTTCGGAGGTTTCTTGGTTTAAATCCATAGCTCCAATCTCTCCCTGTCCCCAGAGGTTGACATTTGATTGCTTTTCACTTCCTATTCAATAATCTGATTTTCTTGAAATGTCCACTTTTATCTGCCTGCTGTCAGTCTTGTCATTAATACAAGCAATTGCTGTTTGAGGAATTTCCTGACCCGTGTGAGCTTTGAGAATAAGCACGTTTAACTAGAGAGTGGCAAAGATGTGGACTCCCAGCGCTGCATTTGAAAATGAATGATCTGCATAGTGATGTCTAGCTGACTGCTAATATCAAGACAGCAGTGTTCAAGAAGTGTTGCATCGACTTAGCTTCATACGAGTCCTCTTGAACAAAATGGGTTCCTAAGGCAGGATAGGCCAATGAGACCATTCTCATCAGTATATAGTATTTCCCAGTGTTCTGATTTCTCTGTTTAAGGGCCTCATTCAAAGGCCATGGAAGTGAACAGAAGGGCTCCTAGTTTTGCTGGTGTTGGGTTTTAGGGTGACTTTACCCCTTCTATGCATAGAAGGGCTCCTAGTTTTGCTGGTGTTTATTTTGGGGTTTAGGGTGACTTTACCCCTTCTATGCAGCTCGCTTAAATTAGTTCAAGAAATGGCTGAGGAAACAGTTGGACAGATTTTGTTCCAGATGGAAACTTGGAAGTGACTTAATGTTTTTCAGTGCAGCAGGTTATTGCTGATCCAAGGAGTTTGAGATCTAGAACTACTCACTACCACTGTTTCATAGTCCTGCCGAGGTGTTATCTATCCTTGTTGGTTCAAGAAGGTTATTTTTTTTATCTCAAACTTATATCCATAAATCCTAGTTAAAAGCCTATTCTCAAGTGGGATATTAGGTCCTTTTATATGATTTAAACGCAAGAAAGGTTTTGCTAAGAGAGATGGTAACAAAATCTGCAGATATTTTAAAATACTGGGGAATTATTCATCATGAGATGGGAGAAGTCATACATTAAATTAGCTGCTGTTGAGATGTTTCATTGTTATGCAGCTATTTGTTTATGCAGTGAAGTGTTTAAAAGACCAGATAATTTATAGATGGTACATGCTTAAAACACTATTATGTAGTAAAGAGCTGACTGTCTGGTAAGATGCATTTCATTACAGCTGGTTTAGTAGTGTTTAAAACAGAATTAATATTCAGCTGAGCTTTGTGATTGTTTCTTTGTCAGTAACTAATTATCTAATCCTTGACTTGCAGTAAGTCATCTCCATTCTGATAGCAAGTTAAACAAATCTGTCACAAACTTTTGCACATCAAACAGCCAGTTAGGAATGTGGCAGTTTAAAACATGGTCCATATTGTTATATTCTCTGTAAGTTCCTTCCCCTCGCATTAGACTACCCTGCTTTAAAAAAAAAACAAAAAACCCTCTTTAACCATGTCAGCAAGTTATCCCACCCGGGCTATTTGGGTAGGTCACCATATAGGTGACCTACAAGGCTATGGGAAGATGTATTGACTCCAGGTCTGCCTTGGTGTTATTTCCTTTGATATCTCACACCAAAGACTTCTACTGCCCTAGTTGCAGTAGGAATGATGAAAATGCTGAGATCTGGGCAGTGGAGTTATCACTTTGCTAAGAGGTAATCTGCTAATCCTGGAAGGTCAGGCTGCTCCTTACCGGGAGCGCTGAAGGAAATCGGTGCCATTGCTTCGTGGTGACAATGCACTAATGCTGCTTGGCAAACAGCAATGCAGGAGCTACCACCCAGAGCCAGGAACAAACCCCAGCCCTTAGCTGGGATTGAAATCAGGGGAATCTGGGCACTGACCCCACCTGTGGATCAAGCCCGGTAGTTTGGAAATGCCCATGAGAGCGCTCCAGTTACTGTGTCTTGTGGTCAGGGCACTGCATGTTTTGAGTGGCAAGAGCCTAGCACCATTCCCTAGCTTGTAAGAACTGCTAAAACATCAGTTCAACCCCTCCACATCCCTTTTTGTGATTTATTATGTTGCAGGTCTAACTGTAAATGAATTTATTATATAATTGAGATTTCCTTGTCTCTAAGCCAGTTATTTCCCTTCAGTCAATTGCTAAGGAAAAACCAAGCTGTGTTTAAGAACTAAACCTGAAAGGTGTGCAATGCAATGATCACATTCTAGGATCATTACAGAATACCTGCTGATACCACGATTTGCTTTAAAAGAATCAGGTTCTCCTGTGTCCCTGTTTTCATGCACTTCCACTTTCTACATTAGTTTACATTGCTATTAACTTACAAAGGAAAACAGCAGAAGTCTTGTATGTTCAAAATGAAAGCTGGAATCTAGTGATGAGAAAGAGGGCACAGGAACACTTCCCATACCCACCCTGTGCTGCATTCTGGGGAGGGCAGAGCCATCACAAGGTGTCTGTTCTAGCGCTGCTCTTGCTGAACACATCCTTTGACATAAGTGACCTTTTCATCTGTTCATCCCTGTTACTTCTCTGTGTACAACCAACTCCAGCATAACAAGTTTTATACAACCTTCATGCAGATATCAAAGCTTACAGAAATCCGAGAAGCTCTGTCTACTGATGGAGTAGGTTTCACAATAGCAATGTGGGAAAAGCGGACTGAGAAATAAACTGGATTATTTCTAGGTAGCTTCCTCCTGTGTTTGATCTAGTTATACACAGTTAAAGGAAAAAATATTTTTAAGATTTTGGTGATAGTAAGTAGAAAGCAATTCTATTTAAAGTTTACATCAATATCAAGTACAATGCACACAAGTTCTAAATGAATGAAAACTGAGCCATGAGTAAGATGATTTTCATAAAGACTTTGCAAAGAATGCTTCCCGTGATGCTTACCTGAGGCAAAAATTAAAATTCTGAACAATTTCAGTACTATATGTTTAGAGGAATGAAACATATCTTGAAAATACTGGCATTTGATTAACTATTAGAAGTTTTTTCTTAAAAAACATAGTTCACACTTGCTTATAGGATCCTTGCTGCTGCCACCTGAATTAAGTTCGTACTAAATGCCTGTATCATGTTGTTTATATTTCCCCCTTTAGCACTGATGAGCAGGACTTTAAGGTTTTTTGGCTTCACACCATAGCAATGGAATGTGCTTATGACTTTATTAAACGAGTGAGACAGGAGCAGGGTAAGACTTGGACACTATGGGCACACAACAAGGCCTCAGATAGGTAAATTAGTTGTGATTATCACAGAATCAGGTTGGCTAAATGAGCTGTTTTAAGAAGTTCAAACTTCACTTGTTAAGTCTATTAAATACACAAGAAGTCAATTATTTTAATTGGTATATGCCATATATTATTCATAAATACCACATGAACATTAAGCCACATGAATGGAATCTCGTTAATTTTGCTGTTTCCTTTCTTTCTTGCTTGCATTCTTCTGACGTTTAGCTTGCTTTGCCTGCCCTGCCAGCTATCTACCTGTGTATCCGAACAGTTTTGTCACCTAGAGTCCCCAGCCCCTTCCTCTGCGCACGCTGAGAGGGCCCATACTGCAGCACGTAACTGGAAGGTCAGGAAGGAGCCGGCGCTGCCAGCGCTGCCCTGGTGCAGCCCGGGCAGCCGAGGAACCCCCCTCTCCACCCTGGGCTGTCGGCAGCGAAGCCCCTCGGCGCGCTGGCTCGCAGCTCCTGAGAGCCTTTGTCACTCCCGGTGCTCCGGGAGCCCTGCTCTCACAGCTCCACATATTCCACCAAATCTCAATACAGCAGCAGGGGAATAAAGTCTTAATGGACTGAAATGAAGCAGCAAACATGGAAAAGGATT